ACTAATCAAACAAGAAAAAGAAAAGAAGAAAAAAGAACCTTCTGCTTAACAACTAAATTAGTAAAAACCATCATTTCAAATTAATAGTTTTAGTTTACCTGTACAAGAGCTATAACCATCTCCCTTAAACTGCACACCATCAACCACAGGGCATTCACACACTCTACCACGAAATGTATCCTGCTCATACAAATTAAGAGGATCGATGAGACAGAAATCAGGGAAGATCAGAAATTTTGATACAGAAACTGTTGTAGAAATTCCACAAGTCAATGCAAGAACCTTGCAGGCAGTGATATTAGCAGCCTTGTCTTGCCAGCAGCCACCATTATTATCCCGGCACTCATTTGTCTCCACGTCTGTATTAAAAGAAAGAGCCATTCTATGTTATGATTAAACATCTTATCGAAATTTATTTTAAAAATGCTGTGCACTCACCGTCGCTCAAACAAACTGCAGGCTCAGTAGTCTCCTCAAAACCAGCACAAATAGCCTTTAAAACAGCTCCTTTCTCCAATTTCCCTGCAAGAACAGGCATTAAGAAAGAAAAATAAAGTTCTCAATTGAAGACGAGAGCAAGTGCGTGGACTAACCTCGATATTGTCGATTGTTGACAACAAGAGTAGGTAATATGGTGACATCCCCTCTTGTTCCTTTACCAACCTGCATAGGAGTTCTACTTTTGTAAGTGCTTGCACCCATTTAAATTGTTTTTAAGCTTTTAAAGAAAGACAAAGAAACTTGCTTGAGCATTTTGCTCTTCTTTCAGAACAGGATTGTCCTCATCAGCATTAGGGTCTCCCATACACTTCTCAATCTTTCTTAAATCAAGACCTGCAGAGAGGAAAATTGACATTAATCTATTCACATATGATAATTGGATGGCGTTAAGAGGCAACATTTATTACCTAAAGACTTAATAACAGCATCAGCACATTCCTTATTATATTTTTTCTCCTTCATGGGACATCGAATCTGAAAATCAGTCACATAATCCCACCACACCCATGGCTTCTTTGTCTCATTGGCCACTTTAAAAACACACAGCTGCCTCAAGTTCTCAATAACAACGTCCTTCCCTTCATATCCAGTGCTGAAATCTTGTTCAGGATCAGGAGCACAATATCTTCCGTGGTTGATACATTGAGACTTGCACTGCTTGCTTACAGTGAATGCCTGAGGACAATACCAAGTAATATAGTGGGGTGTGAATTGAGTATATCCACCTTTCTCAAGAATTTGTGCTGCACCCTTAAAATCTTTGACATATTTCATTAACATGTCACACTTGAACCCACATTCATCATTGCTACTTGTCCACAGTTCATACTCCACACGATCATCTGGGTGGGGCACAGCTTCTCTCCAATCAAGATTCACATTAACCATTTCTCCTGCACTCACAGCTTTCTTCAACTTCTCTGCAAAGCTTTTCTCAATGAGGGCAGATGGTATTGTTATGTTCTCAATGTATTTTGCAGAAGAACCATCCGCTTCAGGTGTGTCCATGGTTATCAGCCTTTCGTCAACATCATCTGCAACTAGAACGGCAGCGGCGCCGGCATTTTGGGCATTCCAGACCTTCAGAGCGAAGAAGCAATCTGCCAACAAGAAAAACAGTAACTCCCCATAAATCTTGGTAATTTTACAAATGACCTCTTTCTTGATATAAAAGAGAAAATTTGACTTTCCATTTCAACCCCCAATTACTGCTCAAAGTATCAGTGAACTATGACTCCTTCTGGGATCCAAATTTTCAATTCCAAAATTTGAATTAAAATTTAAAAAGAACAGAAAACTTGTCTAGAAAGAGTTGAGGGATTCAAATCAACAATGATGTTAGTCTATGTAATGCAACCCAATTGAAAACAATAAAGCATTCAAATTTATCAGCCACTGTTAGGGAAAACTAACAGAAGTACTACAAATGATATGACACTTAGAAACAGTCGGAAGAAAAGCAATCAGATACTTCAAGAACTAACATATCAACTTCGTATCATTAACTTAAACCAAAAACTACTGATACAGTCCAAAGAATGACAATTAGAAAATTCCCCAAATAACAAAACTAAACTGAGACATCAATGCAGTGACAAGGACCAAAACAACAACAACAACAACAACAAACTACAACCACACCTCAATATCAAACTAATTGGCCGAAAATATGAATCCTCAATATCCATTCTACTCAATTTACACCCGTTCATTCTAATACTCAATAAATTATCTTTTTTTTTAATAACAACAACCAAGTAAAATTGATACTCCCTCCTGTCCCATATTATGTGATAATATTTGATTGGATACAGAGTTTAAGAAACGAAGACACTTTTGAAACTTGTGGTTTAAAACAAGTCATACATTCTATTTGGTTATAAATCATCTCAGTAAGGTTAACATAGAAAATTTAAAGTTGAATTATTTCCAAATATAGAAAGGGAATATTATTTTTCAGGACAGACTAAAAGGAAAGCATAAATTCAGTTAGAGGGAGTATAATTTACAAAAATCTTCTAGAAAGAGCTAAGGAAGTTGATTGCATACCTCCACGATCGACGAGAACAAAGGTGGGCATAGCACCAGATTTTGACTTAAAAGAAATCCCAGAATCATCAAAGTTTCGACAACCCTTTTGGTTTCCCTTTGGATAAACCACAGTACCGGGAAGACTACCTCCATATTGTGGAATCCCAAAGTTGCCAATTGCACTATCGTAAGTGCCTTTAATATCATCAGGCGAAACAACCCTTAAGCTGTTTTTCTCCACCACGAAACGACCCACTACTGATTGGAATAATAGGTTCAGCCATAGAAACCCTAGAAAGATTGCTGCTTTCCAAATTTTAGAAACCCCCATTTTCTTTTCTTGGTAATCCAAGAAGGAGAGAGGGTATAAGAGAAAATCTTTCAACTGTATGTTAATGGACGAAATTTCTAGCTTTCTTTCTTGTTTTGTTTTTTATTTGTGACTTGTTTGTGTTGAGCATGATGGTAAATCCCAGTTCCTCATGTGTTTGGGAATATTTTAGTCTTAGGATAAGATTTTTGTCTAATTTTTAATATTTTGTAATATAGTCTAAAAATGATCCAAGTATAGTTATTATATTGTATACTTTAGTTCTTTTGTGAAGTTAAGTGTCAATTAGATTTTCTTCAACCTTCGTTTAATATGCACACCAAAATTTATTATTCCATTCATTTTATTTTTTGTCTTTAGTTTGACTAGGAACAAAATTTTAAAATAAAAAGAGACTTTTAAATTTTATAATTTTAAATTAAAGTTATACACAATATATTAAAAAATTTATTTGAATTTTGCGATCTTAAAAATATTCATTTTAATGGTTTTGTGAAACTATTTGGCATTAGAAATTTGATGCAAATAGTAAAATGGTAGTTGACCAATAAATAAGCATCCCAATATCCCATTCTCACGTGATTAATGGTAGTGTGGAGTGTATGACGAAGCACAACCAACCAACATCTTCCACGTGATCAAAATGTCAGTTTTCTATTTAATATTAATAAAAATAGATAGTGTTGGTTAAAATTTTTAGAATAGATGGTGAACGAATGAAAGTGGTTGTCTAATTTAAACACGAAACAATATGGACCATGTTTCTTGTAATTTGCCACATAGAAATATACTCCAAGATTATATTGGGGCGTTGTTGCTGTAGAAAGATACTCAAAGAATTGCGACATTGTTCCGTAAGGATTATCTACTTTATAAACCTCTTTTTTCCTACACTTATTTAGGTTTGTTAGTTCATGTATTCTTATCCGCATTCTATTACATATAGAATAATATATAGATCCGTTTAATACTAAAAATAAAATACTACCTTAATTATACAGAGTTTTATACCAGTAGTCAAGCATTGTATCAATATTGCACATCATCTCTTCTTATGCTACCGGATGTACCGCCCAAATACTCTTAAACATGGTGTGATATTGCTAGCTTTAGGCTAAGTCCGCATGATTTTTTCTAAAAGACCTCACACCATTAAGAATATCTAACTTATTATAAGTAGCTTCTTCTTTTTCTACTTTACTAAGATTGTCTAGTCAGGGCGGCACTTCCATAAAGTAAGTAAAACAATTGTTTTAGGCCCCACATTTGCGAGGACCCCATTTTTTATTACACCTAATAGGCTATGTATAAGTTTAAAAAAAGGTTATGTGAAGTGAAAAAGTTTAACTTCTTTCTTTAACAAGTATAGAGAACAATGATTTGCAACTGCTATTATTTCTGCCAAGAAAATTACACTTGAAATGAATATCGAACCCGAATTTCGTGTGATATATAGGAAATAACAATTTGATGAGAATGGATAATAATCTCAAAATCTTTCGAAGAGTCCTTTGAAGTTGAATTACTTTATACATAGTAGACAAGACTATTTTTTCACTTCAAAATAGATTTGAACAATTCGAATCATATGAAAATATTTCTGGTATTCTATTTAGCAATAAAAATTAAGATCACTAGATGATGGAAATTTGAAAAAAAAATATTGCATTAATCTTGAATGTTCCTTAAAGTATAATAATCAATTCGATATTGATGGTTTAGATTTATTTTCGAAATTAAAAGTATTAAGAAAAATAGTACAATTAGAAGATAATAGTTTAATTGATACACGCGGTCAAATGAAAAGATTTGATTCTTTTTCTAATGCCTATATTGCTTGTGGAATAATGTTAATAACTCTTGTTACCGGCGCTTCATCGGAAAGAAGTTTTCAAAATTAAAATTGATAAAATCTTACCTAAGATCAATAATGTCTCGAGAAAAGTTAAATGGATTAGCTATATTATCAATTAAGAAAGACTTATTAGGAGTTGTTGATTATAAGAAAATTATTAATAACTTTGTTTCTAAGTTAGCTAAAAAAATAGATTTTAAATAAATAAATATTTGTAAAAATAAAAATAAAAAGTTAAGGCCGAGGGCTTTAGGCCAGAAAAGTTGTTGGGCCGCCCCTGCGTCTAGTAGCTCGTACAAATCAAGCAAAAATAAGAAGTTATAAGTAGACTATTTGGCATCACAATAATAAAAGGAGAAACTAGAGTTGTCTAAGGACATTTACATGGAGTTCTATTTACAGAAGCATATGTGCAGAGAGTGTTGTGGCGTGGAAATAAACCTTAGGTTTGGGAGAATGATATGCACTTGTCCACTACTTACAGAGCAATTCTGATTGAATATTGTCGCCTCAATGTACTCTTCAAGTTTAATACGAGCTAACAGTAGAAATCTCAGTTGTCAACGATGTAACGATGCATTGCTACTTTCAAAAGCCATAGCAGTCCTCTCTACATTCTTCAGTAGGATCCCATATATTTTGTTCCTCACCCTATTACATGCTTCAATTTCTGTTTCATCCAAGTTCGAACCTTCTTTGCTCGCGTCTTTTTGAGGATATGCCTCCTTGTTGATGATCATGTCTAACCAGTCATTTACTCTCTTGACCTTATACATCATTGCTGCTACTTGGTTATCTGATACCATAAGAGACATTTTTCTTTCAAGTTCATTAATATATTTCTCTATGTAACACAAAAACTTTTTTCTACACTCGTCCTGCAATGAAGAAACTAGGCGAGTAGCTGCAGGGATAGTGCTACCACTGGTCCATTCAAAATCCGCGTCATTGTTGGATGTCAATCCAAAAGAAATGTCATCAGTGTTTCTATTGTCAGTTCTAATAATGCTAGCGCCTTTTTGTTTGGTACTGTGACTCGATGTACTTGACTTCTTCAATGTATTGGCGACGGTCATAGTGTTAAGAATTTGATTGAGGGAAGTGGAGCATGGTGAAAGATCTAAAGCCACAGCAGATTTTATCCATGCAGCTGCATTTTTCTTTCTTTGCAGCGCAATAGTCACTTCATTATCTGAACTGGCGCTACTTGAATCAGTTTCTCCTGTTCTAATTGGACTTGTATTTGTCAGTGACTTCATTATTAGTCTTGTCTGAGCCATATCATCTTGAAGATCCAAAAATGTATCAACATGAGGCTGTAAATCTTCTTCTTCAGGTAAATGAAACTCTGAGAATTTGCTGGAGAAAAGAAGATGTGTTAGCTTCTACACTTCGGATCCATACTGTATAACAGAGAAGAAAAGAAAGGAGAGTAACAAAAGAAATGTGCATAAAACAGTAAATTTAATACACAACAACAATATCATGAAACTGGTAGCTTTGTGTAAACTGCTGGCCTATGCACATTTCATTTCATTAATAGGAAGGGCAACAATTCAAATCCTTCATATTTTCCTAGTTGATAGTGATATATGCTTCAATTCAAAGTTCTCTAACTTCATTTGAGTTCATTTATATCGGCACATTCTGAGTTACATGCAAGACAGACCATACTGCATTGTCATTACGACCAATAAGGAAATTCAATGTATTACTTTAAAGACGAAAGCTATCTATAATTGTGAGACTCGTTTATCAGAAAGGAGGATTGAATACAAAAAGTAATTACCTTAACGAATTGAGCAGCCTCTCAGCTGCACAAGCTTCTTGCAAAGCATCAGCAGCTGCAAAGAGAGCAATGTCTCTTTGCTTTACAACGTCCTGAAATGCAAGAGAAAATCGCAGGCATAGTTATTATTATGAATTACTCAATAAGTCATTCAAGTTATGATAATTGAACTCAGTACCTTGCCAAGGTTCACCAAACTTGAGGGCAGGGAATCCCATGAAATCCCACTTTCTGCGCCTTGTCTGTCATACACTAAGCCTTTAATTGGATGGAAGGCTTGTTCAGAGTTTACCTTTGACATAGAATTCTTGCTCTTAGTTGAACTCTTGACTATTTTCTTTGCAGAACCAACAAGCCTTCTTCTTGATATTGAACTTGAATTGTCATCTGAGCTGTCGTATTTGACAGAACGAACAGGTGAAACCTGTTGACATAAGATATTAAGAATAAACTTGGAAAGGACCTGACTGCTTTATGTAATATCTTTCCAAAGTCTAAATGGGAGCTTAATCACTAGCTATTCCAACTACTCAGACAATAGTAAAAACATCAAATACAAATTAAGCAATTGTTAATCCAAATGCAAAATGTTGGCTCAATCAACCAAAAGAATATATCATAATCTGAACTTTTGTTAAAGAGTTTAGGCGGTAAGATTGATGGTTGATAACTTCTAAAAAAGTATCAAGATTTGGACAGGCCAACTTTTAAACATCAGTTCTAAAACAGATAAGAACGAACCATGCTACCTCGTGGCCTACTTATAGATAAGCAAATGTAATACTTTTGTCTACTGAACATCTGATTAAAAATTTATCAAATTCTTTATCACATCAGTAAAGATGAAAGTATCTATAGAAAGTTAAAGGGAACTCACAGTTGCACTGCGACAACGTGGTGGTCTGATATTGTGTTTGACAACTGAAGAATCAAAAATCTCCTCAGCTCCCAAATTCTTTAACTCATTCCAACTTTTCCTCTTAGAATTCCAGGTCGATGATGACACTGAAGATACCGTGCTATCCGTATCACTATCATTATCAACAGACATTCTCCAACTCCTACTAACTAACCCCAGAGCATCAGAATTTCTTCTCTCAACATCAGATCTTTTATTTCCTGGACGAGTTTTTGAAGCACTCAATGACCTAAACTTACCGTTAGCAGTACTATTCTCAAGAACATCACTTTTTCTCCTCACTTCCTCTATATCAGATGGCTCTAAAGATAACCTCCTTAAATTGGTTGATTCCATAATCTTTTCTTCAGAAATGACACCCTTTTCAACAATAAAATCAGAATTAGATGAATCAAGAATCTTCTCAAAATTTGGAACCGAACCAATATCTTCAGGGGTTCCATCACACGGACGCCTACCAGGGAGAGGTGTTAAATCTTTAAGCAATGGAAATGGTTCTGCATCCTCCAATTTATGTACATAAATGAATTGTCCTAGTTTTAACTTGTTGCCTAAAATTAGCTCATTTTGGTCTTGGGGCAATGTGACATAAATTGCGTGTGATGCATCTGAAATCTTGAGGTAAAATCCCCTATTAGGCAATAAATTTCTTTCTTCTAGGACAGGAACTATGCTTCTGATTTGTAACAATGCAGGCTTATTCCTATCTTCTAACGTGGCATTTTCGTCACCAATTTTCATGTCTTCAAGTAACTTTACAAGAACCCCAGATTTTAAACTCGCCATAATTTTACCAGGTGAGAATTAAAAAGAATTCTTGAAATTATAAGGATGCAGATTAGTAGAAGATGGTGTTTTTCCTAAGATCATGCAGATGAAAGAGAGAAAATTGGATACCCCAGAATTAAAATGACTCAAAAAAAGACGAATCTTCAAGTCAAATTGAGTTCCTTGTTTGTCAAAAATACATCCGAATTTGTAGGATTCTTTACAGAATAAATACTTACGGACCAGGTGATTTGTGAGGTAGTTAAAACAGTTACAGAGGCATTTTATTTTGGCTTCCTTATTTAATTATTTTAGATCCTTCATATCCCATGTCGTTGAAACATGAACCATTTGCTTGTACATCCTTAGACCAAAAATATACTATTACTACAGTTGTCCCAGAACAAAATGATAGGTTCAGAGTGCAAAGTTAAAAATTTTTAATTACATACTTTATAGTAATTAAAATGCTTTTAATCTGTTTATTTAAAATTTTATAGTGATTATTAAAAATAAGAACATAATGGCGACTATCTCAAAATTTACTAAACCAAAATATAAAATAATTTAAATCACAAGTGCAGTATTAGCGAAGTTAACGTTACCAAATATATATATTTTTTAAAACTTGAAGTTATGTCGCTGGAGAGAAGTGAAGCATAAGAATCCACATGAAAATGAAATGCAAAGATT